TTTGTAACAAGTGCGTCAATAGTCAAGACGACTTACTGCAGTGTCGGTTGTGTGCCTTAGTTGTCTTAGTTCTTATATCCAGCATACCCCATACGAGATTATTTTACGCTGCACGGCGACCGCACAGTTTCTGCACGCGTAAAGATGGTCATTTCAAAATTGAGATTGAGATGCCCATTAACTGCGCTAGCCAAATAACCTCCACCAAAATCAATATAAAAAAAAACCCACAATAATTTTCTTAACATTATCATTATCAGCCCGCGGACGCCCACTACTGGACATAGGGCTCCTCCAAATTTTGCCATAATGCTCGGTCCTGCGCTGCCCGAATCCAGCGGATTGTATCAGCGTCTTTCATTTCCTGCTAGTGAAATGCGGTCACGCTTCGCTGTGACTATCGTTAACTGTATGAAGAACATCGATTTCTTCAAACTATTCGCGCGCTATTTATCGTACGTTGATATTACTCTGATAGAAACCTTCTCCCTAGAGTGCCAATTACAACGGAATTAGTTTCATCGCAACAGATGAATGTCTCTGGAACGTATAGCGAACAAATATATATTTCAAATATTTTTATTTTTATACAAGTACATATATAAATGTATATGTGTAGACAAATGTGGGTGTCGTTGTTAAGACGGTTTACTAGTATAGCGATCAATACTGCTAGCCGAGCGCAGCGAGGGACGACCCCCTGTGTTAATGGGATCATTTGTAGGGATACCCCTTGAACGTCGAGACGAAACGTCCTGGGTTGAGCACGGAAAGGCGTCGACTAGAATTCTATAAAATTTCGACTATATTGTATTTTGATATTATCAGTTTCAGTTAATAGTGATTCTTTTAGAATTTTTAATTACGACCTTTGTTCGGGCAACTATTTGCTTGCGTTCTTTAAAACTAGGTGCAAACCTAACAATTTGTAAAATTCTAATTTAGTATCGATCCATATCATATCGCAGGGATATCTGTGGGGATAAAGAGCGGTGTCAGTGACATAGCGTGACATACAATCAGGACTTATCGAAGACGTTGTTTGCGTAGCGCGACAACCGCGGCTGGTCAATGAACCAAACAAAAACACCTACGAGTTACACTGTGTTGTAGCGTATACGCTACTGCATATATGGTTATAGTACTGTGTCGTTTTCAACATGAATATGATATTATACACTTGTTGAGTCACGTCTGCCCTTCTAAGCGAGATCCAACCGCAATTAAATATTCCTTTTCGAATAGTTAAAGAAACATTCACACAAATCACAATTGCAAGTTTCGATACATTAAAATTAGTTTAGTGAATTTCCTCACCAGTTGAGAGCCCTGTGAGCTAGTCGTTTGGTAACGCTGGCATAGCCCTCCCTCTAAGCTACCAGCATAAGTAGGAAAGAAAAGTGAATTTCGTTTAAATTGTGAAGTAAGAATTTAAAACCGCCATTCGCGTAGTGGTATTATTTTCACTTCAAGACATTCGCATATTGATAAACCTTGAATAGCTTTTTACGTTATCTTTGTGACGTATCGTTTATCTGCTCGTGTGTGTGTGTAGCGTGTTGATTGCTCAAGTAAATAAACATCGTAACGTTTTAGTTCACGTACACATTCGATTTCGTAATTCCTTTGTAACCAACCACCTTGACAATACTGATTTATATATGCATTTTCTATTTATTGTCACTTGCTTTAGGTTATTTTTGTACAGAATACATGAGTCGACTATTATCAAAGCCGGCAATGTGACTTTTGGACAATTATTGGTAAATCAGAAAAACGAATTATTGACTTTGTATTCCATTGGCAGTCACAAAACTCTTCTGAACGACATCTTAGATAAATAACAGGTTAAGTATTAACCTTTATTTAATGCAGGTTTTGAACCGTATTCTTTGAAGGAGACGATTATATTCAAATCAATCTGTATTGACATATCAATAATATTTTTTTGTCCAAATGAACAGATTGCCACCTTTGATAATAGACGACTCACATACACGTAATGAGATATTATTTTTACAAAAGTTTTAAAATCGTAATCAGCCGGCTACTGCTTCAAGTGATAAATTGTAACATTGCAACAATATCCGATAACTAGGTACTACGTACGCTACGTAGTTCAAGTACTTGAAATTACGTGCATGATAAATTGTGTGTTGTCGGACAGTTTTAATTACGTAATTTATACATTACTCGTATTGTTTTTTCTTTTTTTAAATGTGTTCTCGTCCTACGAATTTACTTTTGAAACAACGTGTATGGTTGTCAAAAATCGGCTTTTACCTACTGTCGTAATATAAGTCTGTACGGGTATATGTTAAAACACTACCTAATTCTGTCGCGAGGCAATTGTTAGTTGCGGCTTAATAACGTTGGGACAGCCATTATAAAATTTTACAATTGAATTTTATTAAACAAACCTGTCTTCTTAAAGCTATACGGGGATTGCATCTGTGTTATGTAAAAGTTTACAAACTTGAATGTTACGTGATGTATTGTTTGCCAATTGCAGTGGTTGTTATAAACTGCTTTCATTGATATGCAATATCAGATATATAAAGGTTGATATATTTATTTGAAACGCTTCAATTTTACGTTTTAATATTTTTTTATTATTCGTATATATATTTATTTACTTATTACACTTCATGTAAAATTTACATTGGCGGACTTAATGCCTAAGGCATTCTCTACCAGTCAACCAAAGTTAGTGCAGAGTAATAATATAATAATAATATTGTGTTGTAATCATTTAAAAAAATTAATTTTAAAGGTAGTATCGTATTTATATAATTTCCTTCCAAAATCTTCATTTTTTTAAACAGACAAAGAGGGTGGCAATGTTAGCTATGATAAAAGAACAGTTAAGCTGTAAGTTCGTTTCTAAGCTATTAAAAAAATGTTCGGAAAGCTCTTCATGAAAATTCTTTTTAGAAATTACTGCTAATGGCTTGAGAGATTTTCAATCAAGACAGTTCAATTTTAACTGAATTGAAAATTACAGAACGTCGTCAATTTAACGCAAGCGTTAGAAGAGAATGAATGGCACATTGAGTTTCCTTGTCCCCTATGGCGTGCAGACGCGTATTGCACAATATGCGTCCGAGCTTTGTCGTCACTAAGGCACAGCGATAATTCTAAATGTTAGTAGAGTTAATAATGTTGCCAAGAATTTTTTATATTCTCTGAACTGACTAAAAATGAACAAAATAGGAGGCTTCCAGTTAGTGTATACTTTTTGTATAAAGTGCAGTATAAATAAAAAAAAAAACGTTCTGCTTATATGACGATAGTAAGTAGTCATCGTAAGCTCTTGATCATCAGTAATAGCAACCGCTAATTCTTTAATTTCAACAACACCTACCTACATGTAATTTGTCAAAACTTAACTCGTTCTATAAGTATCTAGTATAAGTATAATTATCTAGTATAAGTATCTAGTGGTCTGGGCGTACAAATTCCATAGATATTTTTGATATGTGTATATATACTAGTTCTTGCAGTACACAAGTTGTTAAAAAAGTTGTATCCGCACTTCTCGCATTTTTTTAAAATTGCTGTTGATTGTCTATGATACGAACCGCCTCGTATTACGTAGTTACCACAACGAATGTGCTAAGACAATTACATAACACATTATTTAAATCCAAACATAGTTGTCTCTATGACTTATTACGTAGTGATAGTCAAAAACCAGATTACGTCTCGACGCCAATGACTACAAACGACCTTGAGCCTTATATCGTTGGCGAATGATGCTGATGAATAAATGAAAAGCTTGTAATGATATATTTTTTTTATAAAGCCAGACTGTCCGCATTAACATTTGCTCAAGGTGACCGCGCTCGGAGTTGCGGCTGACTGAGCATCGGTTGAAATATTGTTATCCGATAAACGTTGTTCTGTTACTTCTGAATCCCTTGAAATACTTTGATTACTTGTTGTAGTCTATACTATCTATACTAATATTATAAAGAGGAAAGATTTGTTTGTTTTTTTGTATTGAATAGGCTTCGAAACTACTGAACCTATTTGAAAAATTATTTCACTGTTTAGAAGCTACACTATTCCCGAGTGACATAGGCTATAATCTTTTTTTGAAAAAAATTAGGGATCCTTACTAAAACTTCAATAATGTAACCCAAGGTGTAAAAATATTACCTAAATATTCTTTATATCCTGTGCCCTGCGAAAACTATTGATGATAGAAGAAAGTAATGTACTACGACTTTGTAGAACACATTATTATTTACAAAAAGTGTCGCGACAGCATATGTCTAACTATTATAGTTATGCCGCATTAAGTGGTATATTATTTAAAAAAAAAAAAAACTGCGTCATATGTCGTTGAAATTTTTGTTAAAGACCCGAGCGGAGCCGGAGCGGGCCGCTTGTTTGCAATAAATTGATTGTTGACCGATGTTTGTTGCATGATAATAGCCTGTATGTTTATCAATCAAAATATCACATACATTCTAAATTTCTAAGTCCCGTTTATTATAAACCTGTGGCTTCAGCTACGACATACAGAATTATTACCTTCTTTCTATTTACTCCTCTCCCTAATTCCAATTTCAAGTACTGGCTTTAAGGAATTTTAATGGGCCACTATTATACTTCAGGTTATGACTATTAAGCCATTCGTTGATGTTGACATTCGGTGTTCACCGCCCGACGACCGTTTGCTCGTCGTTTTTTTTTTATTGCTAAGATGGGTAGACGAGCTCACAGCCCACCTGGTGTGAAGTGGTTACTGAAGCCCATGGACATCTACAACGTGAATGCGCCACCCACCTTGAGATATAAGTTCTAAGGTCTCAGTATAGTTACAACGGCTACCCCACCCTTCAAACCGAAACGCATTACTGCTTGACGGCAGAAATAGGCGGGGTGGTGGTACCTACCCGTGCGGACTCACAAGAGGTCCTAGAGGTCGTAGATGTTAGAAGAAAAAAAAGCATTGTTTTTAGATTGAATGTACTCTATTTTTATTGTTACAGGCGTAGGATAGAAACTTATCGACGACGCCAGTCCGAGTGCGTACCAAGGTTCGATCAGTCGTTCAGCGGAGCATGCGAACAGCAAAACCTGGAGACGAGCGCCCTGCAGAAGCGCTTTCTTGAAGGAAAAGCAAAACGGCAAGCCAAGAAAAGCGAACGCAAACCTGATCTTCCAGCCATTTCGAGCAATCTACACAGTAGCGTTGTCCATGTAGTAAGTTAATAGTCCAAAAATTTTTTTTTTATTGCTTAGTATGGTGGACGTGCTCACAGCCCACCTGGTGTTAAGTGGTTACTGGAGCCCAAAGATATCCACAACGTAAATGCGCCACCCACCTTGAGATATAAGTTCTAAGGTCTCAAGTATAGTTACAACGGCTGCCCCACCCTTCAAACCGAAACGCATTACTGCTTGACGGCATAAATAGGCAGGGTGGTGGTACCCACCCGCGCGGACTCACAAGAGGTCCTACCACCAGTAATAAACGTGTACTGCTAGAAACTTCGATTTCGATAGTATTAGCTATATTAACAACGTAAAATATATTTTATTCGTATGTGCATATCTCGGTTAACATATTGATGATGCAAGAGCGATCTCATGTCTAAAGGTAAGATAATACATCTCACCTATTCGCTTTAAGTAATAAGAAAACTTCCTTGTTTGTGTTACGTTAAGCCACGTGCCCCTTGCCTCGCACGTGCATGCATTGTAATTGTACCGGTGAGTCGACATTTTTGATGCTAAATACGATGTACGTGCATGTTAATTGTTAAAGAATTATAACCCAATGAAAGTGTTGGCAAACTGTTAGGATTTTTATATAAACAGCGTTATAATACGATACTGAATGTAAGGTGATAATTACTAGCGCAGCACGTGCCGTATCTGAGTAGCCGCGCCGGATGTAACTCAACGTCAATTGAGTTGACCCTTATGGCACAGCATCCCGTTCCCGTTCCTCACGCTCTATATTGACTTAGCACGCGACTATCGCCTGCAGACGTTAATTTCACAAACTTAAGATGTTTCGTAAGCATTTGTAAGAGCGTTGCGTTTCGATAGATATTTCTTTTAATTTGTTAACTTTTGCTTTATATAATGTGACGCGTTTAGACTTATGGTTAATAAGTTATTTTCCTATCACACCTCGTTTGACCTCCGCTCTGTTTAATACGTGGTTCTCGGTAATTTGTTTTGAGAGGTTTCTGTGTTCGCGTCAAGGTTCCGGCACAATTTACTCGGAACCGTCCGCCATAGCTTCTCGACACGTACCTCCTTTTACCAGCGCTAGATCATGTCGGCGTAGGTACAGTAGGGCGGTTTGTCAGAGTTGTGCAAACTGCGCGAGTTTCACAACAAACGCCTCGCATTGTCTCGCGCCGCTCACCGCGACGACCTCCGAATCTCGGTACGCTGGCTCTTGTACCTGCTTTATGTTGATATTCTAATATAGTGTATTTTGCTCGAAGAAAAACCAATGACAATATCTAAAGCTGATTGGTATAGATTGACAAATAAGTCTTACGTTATGGCCCACCCCGTAATATGTTTAAATTTGGAATGATTCAGACACAGTTCGATGTTTCCCGAGCGCTATGATATTATGTCTTTCTTCAAACGAGGTTTGTGGAGAGTATTAAGCGGTAGGCAGCGGCTTGGCTCTGCCCCTGGCATTGCTGAAATCCATGGGCGACGGTAACCACTCACCATCAGTTGGGCCGTATGCTCGTCTGCTTACAAGGGCAATAAAAAAAAAACATTTATCTCATTATTGTTTTATGTCCGTTATGAGAAAACAGTTTAACGATCTGATGTTTCTGCGTACTGTGTATGTTGTAATAGGAAATGAAAAAAAAACTGCATATAAATTTCATACGTACCCATATCGATATCATATCGTATCGTCATATTATTATCGATGTTGAATTATACAACGCAATTATTGTGCAAGTTGTATTTAACTTGAATTAACAATCCAACTAGCAACATTTACGATGAAAATATTAGAAGTGTAATTTTATATTTTAGTTTTGGCGGGCTTTCTGTCTCTTTACCATAGATTATAACACTATGTGTAGAGAACGCTGCCAGTGGCTGTAGGTAGACCTACATTCTGCCAGAATTCTATAAATCGAACCTAAATCATCTTACAAAGAAATAATTTGTACTTGTATTCTTAAGTCAATTATAAACTAACGTGTATAATTAATTGAATTTTAATCCTTGTTTAATCGTATATTTCCTAAATGATCGGACATTTAAAACTCGTTTGTCGTTTTAGATTATCTTGCAAGAACATAATAATGGTCAATCTATTAATTTAACTGAATCAGTTCACGTGATAACCGCACACGCGTATTTGTAGACTTGAGCACTCCCTCGTTGTTAACGTGCAATCATACACGTGATGTCTGCACATAATTAAATCGTTTACCATTCGTCCAAGGTTGCTTATCATTATTGCAAATATACATATTATTTTGCTCAGTAAATTTTAAATTGGACAAAAACACCATCTTCGAATTGACAGATAGGGAATAAAGATCTCTAGTGAAAAAGAAAGGTTTTGTAACTAAACTTTTTTGCTAGTAAGTTTTTTACGGTGTTTATTTGTTTCAGCAACAAAAATTTGGATGTGGTGATTATGAACCTCCGGCAAAGCTTCAATGTGGGGGTGGAGGAGTCACTGGCGAGGCACTCACCAAATTCTCGGTTGAAATAGTTCAACAGCTCGAGTTCACAACTTCGGCAGCTGATTCGCAACCGCAGCAGATATCCACAAATGTCACCGTAAAGGCGCTCGCCAATGCTGTAAAGACCTCTAGCTCTCCGCCCCCGCAGCAGCCCCCGCCGCGGATCCCCACGCCCTTAGACTGCGAACGAGAGTGCAAGGCCGAATGTAAATCTGAAGTTGCGGATGATGAGTTCGTCGGGCTCGACGAGTGCGCAGCGGCTCTTGAACGCGATGCGGCTTCAGCATTCCCCGGCCTCGCAGACCTGATAGGTGAAGACGACGGCGATGATACGTTCGAGGACCTTATCACTGAAATATCCGAGTACCCTGAGTTCATGAAAGATTTCGATTTGGATGCGGGCAAATTTAATGGAGGGGGCATCGGCTTGGAGCCGCCTGAAGGGGAAACGGCCCCGAGACCGTACGGCGGGGGAGAGATGTCACCGGCAGCTCAGACTTTGAAGCACATGGCCGAGCAACACCAGCAGGCGACTGGCGGAGACTGGGCCCGCTACCGAGGCTACGGTTACCGTCCGCGACATACGCCGCCTCCCATCGATCACTTGCATATGTCGCAGCAGCAACAGTTGCATGTTACACAGCCACACCACAACCTACAGGTATGTTTAGTTAATCTAATAATATCTATAATTCTGTTATTAGCGAAATGAACAAGCGTAGGCAAGTGGGCGAGTGGCCTTCGCCTCGAGTTGTCTGTGGCCTTCGCCTCGAGTTGTCTGTGGCCTTCGATTATAGCATACAACAGGTGGACTGTGAGCTTGTCTCTGGACGCAAAAATGAAAACGGTATTCGTATCCATACGTATGGCACAGGCCATAACGTATGTCTTCAAGAAATCGCAATTTTGATTGAGCCCGTCGCTATTTGATTTCGGTTTACCACTAGAACAAATGTATTATTATCATAATTTTTTTGGATGCTTAAAAGACTATATGATGGAATTTCTTTCAAATTCTCGAAGTAACGAATTACTTAATCATCCATCTGTAATAGTGATATTTACCTTAACTCTTCACCCCTGTCAGTTGTAAGGCATATTCACTAAACAGTGTTTCGGTTTTTATTGAACATCATGTTATAATACGGGAAGCGGTATTCATGTTTTTTGTACATTAGTTAGTGACCCGGACATTGGTATCACGGGACCAGTGTTCGACCTCGATCGGAGTCATTGTCTTTATCAAATTTATTTGATGTACCGGATATGTTTTTTTTTAGTTGTTCAACGAACTCATGTCCTACCTAATGTAAAGTCAGAGTCAATAGGAATCATATGTGTATATCCACACCCTCTTATTTCGACGCGTCAAGTAAACGTAGTGTTACATACTCTTTGGCGTCAAGTATATTGTATAACGGACGTCTCATCGTTCAAAGCAGAACCCGTGACTGCTTAGTGGCCGAAATATGCACGATGATGGTACCTACTAGTATGGGCTTACACGAAGAAACAACTACCAAACATTTTGCGACATAATTTTAAGAACATCATGAGGTATAGCAAAAAAAATGATTATCAGATCAAATACAAAAACCTTGGAATATGCTAATAACTATTATGCTAATCTACGAGTGATCCGATTCGCATAACGCGTAGAGATCACCTCAATCTGTTGTAACCTTGTTTGAAATAAAATAAAAATAGTATTTATCATTTTATTAGGCATACAGAAATAACTAAAGGTGTGTGTGTTTCAGTAATTGTTGTATTTCGTTCGTGTAACTTGTGACGCGACTTATAGGACATAAAAAACATGGTGTCTGGTTTAGAGTATCGACCGGAGGCGGTGTGCGCGCGCTGCCTCCCCACACACACACTCGCCGCCGAGTGCGAAGCGCTGTGTGACTTTTACCGTTTATACTCGACTATAATAATATAGTACAAACATTGAGACGTATCATCTATATATTAATACGTGAAGCAAAAACTTTGTATCCCTTTTTACGAAAATTGCGCGGACGGAGGAGTATGAAATTTTCCACACTTATAGAGAATATAGAGAAGAAGTGCACAATGCTAATTTTTTTTTTAAATAATGCCTAAAAGATACATTAAATCAATAAAGAAAACATTACGCACACTACATACCATGTATTTGACGCACACACGCATGCATACTATTTATTGTCAAACTTTTGTTCTTGACGTTTATTGTCAAATTGAGAATAGATTAAATATTGTTTGTCTTTGTTAATATTTTTTATAGTGTAGTCTTGGCGAAATTTGTGATTATAGAAGTATAAAATACAATAATAATAGAGTACAAACTTACAATTCCAATTAATTATAGTCGAATTTCGACTACTGCGGGACCTCTAGTTTTATTTTAATTTGTTATTAGAGGTACTCGTTAGACGACATTGACGACGTTGGCGTTTACGAATGTCTCGTGGCCTCCTCTTCTGTTAAAATGAAAGTCGAAATGTGTCGAAAATTTTTATCGTAGAATTTAAAAAGCTACCCGTGGGTCGTGTTTGTTAAAACGTACTCGAGCGAGAAATAGTAACGGAATTCTATCCGTTTCCGATCGAAGAGTATTGAATTAAAAAGGAAGAAGTAGAAGCTGTTGATAACTTTCAATTATCAAAATGAGTTATTCATTTTTCGTTGTAAAAAAATTGTAAACTGCAAAGAATTTGAAGAATTTTACTGTTCAAATGTCAGAATAATTTATCTTCGAAAATAATGCAAACATAACACAAATCAATTTTCTAGTTAAACCATATGATTAAATATTTGAACAAAGAAAAGCAAAGTGAACAATAACGTTCTTAAGAATGTGCGAGTGGAGTATGTTAGTATCGGATTAGCCAACTATACCAATATAATGTGCTCCGATACATTTTCCTTAAAATAAACTGAATGATATTTCAAACTATAAATAATTAAATCAATTAAATATTTACAATACAATAAATAACATCTTCAATCAAGAACTCTCAGTAATCATAAACAGAAGCATACTTCAATGCGTAATAACATATATTGACTCAGGTTTATATGGCGAATAAGCAGATGTATCAAAAGCCACATGTTACATTTAAAACTGTGTCTCATACGAGGCTGAACGCAAGTAGGTACTACATACCACATACATTATAACACTTCGTTGGATTAGACTAACAGTGTAGCTGGAACGAACGTGTTATGATTTCATTAAATTCATCGTAAATGCGTCAGAATATCCATGACGTCAGCCTCATGCGCTTAATTAGGGTTATTACAATGAAATAATGTGTGTAATACAAAATTAATCGTTCTTTACGGAACGTGGTTTATCCATAGTTTGTGTATTCACATTACGACATCGTTAAAAAAAAAGAAAAAAATTTAGTTATTTTGTGTGGTATAAGGTTTGTGGCTGATTAGAAAACCTTTGGTGTTGTTTAATATTCTGTCTCTTTTCTTGCTCCATAAACGAGGTCTGTTTATTTTGATAATCCAAAGCAAAAAAAAAAATCTAACCCCATTCCTTGTATAAATAACATTTTCGCTAAAAAATTCATTAGCTATTAAAAAAAAAATTATGTTTCCAAGTAAAGTGTTAAATGATTAGCGAGTAACAAGACGAAACCTTTCAATGATATTATTAAAATTCTTTGTATTGAACACCTACACCAATATTAGTTTTTAGTATTTTCGCGTTACTGAATACGTGTTTGAATTTTTAGCTTCACTTCGTAGTGTCCGCGAATTACTGGCATGTTGTGAGCCCACACGGGTCGTCACCACTGCCCCGTCTATTTTCATGCGAAGCAATAATTCCGATATGAAGTGTAATGTCATTTTGGTGTGAAGTGTACGATAACCATTGTAATGTAATCGAGATCTATTCGAACCCATGGCTCTGGCATTACTGATGCGTGTATGACGTTGTTTACTCACTCATCAGGTAGACTAGCATGCTTTTTATGCAAATAATTACTCTTGAAATTTCGCCATTAAAAAAATAACCAAGCGCGCTTAGAAACAAAGTTTAGTTTTGTAATTTCTAGTTGAATATGAAAGTCTGTACGTCTCGGCCGATGACATTAGAAGTAGCATGAATGGAACAAAAAGAGTGCTCCCGACCCGATTGCTTCCTGTGCCCAGGCGGACCACGTGTCCCTCCGCCCGCCTCGCCCCTACATCTCGCCTTCTCGCCCCTCATACGGTTATCGCTTTCTATGCACGTAAATATATATACACAAACCATGAAAAACATTACAATTCTTTTTCTTCATTTCATTTCATTCTCTTTCGTAATCCTGCAAAATATTATTTCACTTGATTTCTTATTCAATATGCTTTTATAAAACGACTGCATAATCCATTACGAGCAGTGAAATCAAAATCTAAAATGAAGTTATTTATTCTCGCTGATTCCGTCAAAACACAGCGATACCGTTATAATACTCTATTAATGGAAGCCTTATCGTTAAAATTCCACTGCATATTTAAATATAGTTGGAGTCGTTAAGGTCAAATGAAAAACAGCCAGGTTTAACTAGTCTGATACGTGACATTCCTTTGTTTGTGGTGCATGTATTTTTTTTTTAGTTGAAAATTACATAAAAATACGAAGCAATTCAAATAGATCGAAACAACAGAACAGCGAAAATGCAGGGTGTTTATATATGTTATATAATAACATTTACAAATTAGTCTCATTATCCCTTGTCCCCAGTAAAAGTCAGCGAAGTACAATTCTGCCAGAGAAAGTATATCGGTAGATGAATGCAGTAGAAACGCGGTCGTTGTGAAATCTTCGTGGCGTAACACACTGGCAGGATTCATAACGAATAAAGCAAAAGTAGTGTTGGGCATATAAAAAGATCTAATTTAACGTTTGTAATATAATACTGGTGCATAAGTATATTATATTTTCTGGTTTAAAAACTAATCATTGATCTTAAAATCTAGTACATATATTTTATGCCAAACAAAAGCCAATAAATACTTTTGGATGAGCTGCCATTTTAAGTATTATATTATACATTTAAATGTTTATTTTATTCTTCTAAATTTAACTTGGTTGGAACAACGGGACAGCTTCATTATTTATTATAATTTAAAAACAAAATCTATTTTTGTCAAATATCTTAGATTCTACGATAGCTATCGTTAATCGCNTACATATATTTTATGCCAAACAAAAGCCAATAAATACTTTTGGATGAGCTGCCATTTTAAGTATTATATTATACATTTAAATGTTTATTTTATTCTTCTAAATTTAACTTGGTTGGAACAACGGGACAGCTTCATTATTTATTATAATTTAAAAACAAAATCTATTTTTGTCAAATATCTTAGATTCTACGATAGCTATCGTTAATCGCTAATCTAAGCCGATACCGGATGGCCGGATGGACGCCGTGTACACACAAGGCTGACTGTGTTGTCGGTGCTAAACTCAGCACAAGTATCACTCAGTACCAGTGTTGCTCGAAGCTTGCTTCTATTTGAGATCGGGCTTGAATGTCAGTGTCAGGAGTAGTGCACGTAATGCAGAGCTGAATGATGATTAATGGCTCGTGTTGAACTGTGAGAGGGTGGAATACTGCGGTAGTGGAGGACGTTGATGACGCGCTGTCTGTGTGAAGATTACAGTTACTC